ACGTCAACACTCATTGTTGTTTTCTGTGTGGTTTCACTTCGGCCCGCCAGGAGAACCTGGAATCCGTAAGAGGAACATAGAGCCAGAGAATTTTCCTATAATATTAAAACCTAAAATCTTCTTCTTCAACATTAGACACCTATCTCAGAATGAATGTTTTTCTAACTTGCTATTGAACTGCAGGTGAATCACTTCTACAGTGTTTTCTGCCAAATGTACCTGAATTATCAGTGACCAATGTACTGTAGGTGTTCAAAAAGAAGCAAAATTAGGTTGAACAAATTAAATGCATAACGAAATGTCTAACATTTAAACAAGATCTCAATTTAAAAAAAGTATTATTCTCAGATCAGCAATTACCATTTATAGTTCTTTATTTAAGCAAAGGCATATATTGCGAGTTTAAGCTAAAAATGTGTGATTTTGCTTCATATTTTGCCTATAAAATATGTAATAAAAGTTTTTGCTTTATGCAGACACAATGGTCCATCCTCACAGACTCTGTGCAGTGACTGCAGCCAATCTGCTAAATCCAGACTCCAATGGGATGAACATTAAGGCAGTTGCTTATTTTATGTTAAATATTTTTATTTAATTGTCATTGTTTTGTAGAAATCAGTTTTCCCTTTGACATTAAAGTATTTTTTGTTAAAAAGAAATGCAAAAAAGCCACATTTTGCTGATCATGATTCATTTCTGAAAGCAATAAAAGTGGATGAATACTTTTTAAAGGCACTTTAAGAAGCAAAGGAAGTCCAGTTGCCTTCTACTTAGGCATTTGGATTCAATATTTTTTTTTCTTTTTTGCATCAGGACTAATTGTCATTTTTGTCTCTAAATCTAAGTTGTTAGATAATGTTTACACTTTTGGTTTACATATTTGGAGAGAAAAAAACAGTAATACAGTCAAATCAGTATATTCACTAAAGGTTATCATGGCAATCTCTTTCCTGCCTGTAAAATATTCACTTTAGTCCAATGTCATCCCGATGCTTTATTTTTGTTTCCACATCAGCATGTTGTTCCTGCCAAGTCTCTCTCTCTAATCAGCCTTATTCATCTCACCTGAGCCATGCCTAATTGTCTCCCTGTATCACCTGTATGCACTATTTAACCTCTCCTCAGTCTCTGCCTCCCTGCCAGGTTATCTACAGCCTGGTGCCAGTAGAAATCTTTCCTCCCTCTTGTGCCGTTCCAAGTTTCCCACCAATTTCACTTTCATTCCTGCCTTGCCTTACCGGATCTCTACAGCCTTTCTGATGTCTGAACTCGAACCTCTTGCTCTGATTCCTGATCACAGATTCTGGCCTGATTTTCTCATTAAGTATACCGACATTAGCTTTCCTGTGTATGACCCCTGCATTTATACTGACCATGATATTGGCTTTTAGGCTTTAACTGTGGAGTTTTTTTAGGGTCTGAGATGATTGATGATCTCCAAAACTTGGAGGAAAACACTATGTGGACTGACAAAACTGAAACGTCTTGGAAGCTGTCCATTCCTTCACTTCAGGCATACTAGTAGCATTTCAGGAAAAGACTGTCATAGGTTAAACACTGTCACAGAATGATAGCTTTGGGCTCGACAGGATCTTACTTTCTGTGATTTATGGAACTATGACTTTTGCTCTCCACCAGAAAGTCCTGGAGGAGAATGCCAAGCCATCAAATAGTTCAAGCCCACTTAGGAATAGCAGCAGGACAATGATCCCAAGCACACCAACAAGTTCATCTGTAAATGCTCAAAATGTCTAGGAGAGGCCTATGTCTTAACTTAAATCTGATTTAAATGCTTCAGTGTGATCTTAAAAAAGCCACTCGTGCTTGAAAATCCTCCAGTGTGTCTGGATTATAATTAATCTACAAAGAAAAATCCTGTTACTACTCCACACAGTGGTGTAAAAGACTCATTTTCAGCGATGACACCTAATAGCAGTTGATGCCACTTGTCTACAGCTTCTAAAAGATTTTAATATTTATCTTATACGGTAGCCCTTTTCACCATATGATCTCAGTCAACAAAGAAGGGGATTAATAAAATACAGCTCTCTGTGTATACAGTTAACTGAGATTTTTAAAAAGAATTAAGCAACATTTTCAAGCCAACAACTTTTCACAATGAGTTCTGTATTTATTTAGTTAAATCTGGGCAACATGCTAACAGGGTTTGGTAGAAATAAAATTGTACAGTATGGTAATTCAGAGAAAGTCTTTATAACGTCATATATTTTGACTTGGTGTCCCTTTCAAATATGAGAAAGCAGATACAATTGGCATAACTGTGCATAACAAAAGGACAGAATTTAAGTTTATGTGGTTAAAAAAAAACATAAGGACCAACTAAACGCATTACTCATGGGTATAATGAGTAATGCGTTTGGTATATTGTGTTTCTACAAAACGTCCTGTGGTTGCATTTCACACCTGAAACAATTAGGTATAGAAATATTCTTCATCAACAATTGTTTCGTTTCATTAGTTTAAGTTTTAAAGTGACTACAAAATATCACAGCTGCTGGGTTCAGTTGTGTTTAGTCAGGGGAGGCAAGTGAGGCAATCACTGACAATGGTAAGAGAAAATCAATTTGTTTTCTGTACGATTTTGACATTCTTAAGGTCAAAATTGTTGGATTTACACAATGAGACAGACGAGTGAGATGAGATAGTGATGATCAGTGTGTCACAGACTGATAAAAATATATTGAATATTCTTTTGTTTTAGTATTGTATTGTTGAACAATATGGAAAGCATCACTGAAAGCTTTTAAAAACAATTAAACGTTGCAATTAAATTCACATTTTAATGGGCGTCTATTTTGGGTTTTGCATTATAAATCTAAGTCCAGAATAGCTGGTGCTTCACCAGTCAAGAACCTCCCCATATGTCACTGGTTTTGTTGTGATCATAATTATATGTTCCCAAAATTGTACGGTATGAAAGACTGCTTAACAATATAATTGCAAATACTCTCTAATGTCTAACAAGGTATGCATAGTATTATTTTTCAAGTCAAAAATATCATACATTGAAGCTAGCAGGCTGTAGCAGCAGAGGAGTGCCGCTCCACATGAGAAAACAGGAATTGAAAGGTACCTTAACACCAACTTTGGAATCTATCACAGTATCAGTTTTATACAGCTTCCATTTCCCACCAAAGTAAACACCTTAGCTTTTTTTTTTCAGGCAATAAAACAACATCGTTGTTACATTAGCAAGTCGGTGTTTGTGTATCATTCTAAAAGAATATACAGGAAATACAATAAGACCTGACAATCATACTAATAAAACTGTAATTTCTGAGAAATTAATAAAGAGTTAAAAAAAAAAAAACTCCTCACCTGCAATCTTCGTCTTCTGATGATACCAGAATCATCCATGGCGCGTGCCCGGGTTACACCTGTGGCGGGTCTCCTTGTTTTGAGTTCTTAATATCGGACTTTAATATAGAGTTCCAAGTCTCGCGTTGCTTCCAGCCGACCAGCACGGTTCACGATATACCATCACAGCTGCACACTTCGCTGAGGGCCCACACCAATTTTCGGGTGAAAACAAAATATACTAAAGCTGTAACGTCATGTTTGTTGTTATAAATAGAAACTCTAAACATAGACGAGGGGTTGGTTTACAGTCAAAAAGACAACCACCTATGAACAAGGTTCATGATACAGTGTGGCCCCTGTGTTCCACCCCAGCAGACAATCCATGCTGTCAGACAAGAACCACTGTCAGGGCTGCTCTTTGGTGGGGAGGCTGCATGGAGGGATCAGAGGGATGAACTGAAGTCCAGCTGAGTGATAGAGACGAGTCTCTGCCAGGAACCCAGACGGTCAGACCGAAGGTTATCACACCACAGATTAGATAGAACAAACAAGTTTGCAGAGGTCCTCACTTCCAGGCAACGATCCAAGACAAAAACAATTCTTTAGCATCTGTTTGTTGGACATTGAATTCTGCTTCTGTCATCTGTCAGCAATGGGGGGGGGGATCTTGTATCTCAGTGATCCTCTCACCTACAAAACACCTGACACCCGAAGTCCTCTTAAAGCGTCGAACCACGTCCAGATTCGTCTATTTGCTCGTTGCATTTATTTAGAGTTCACGCTTGTCGCACATTTAACCAGGAGCCTTGATAGTATGACACATCCACACAATGTTAGAGCACCTAAGCACTAACAACGGCACGGTCAAACACAATCTGCAGCCAGTGTGCAGCGTCCATACGGCAGGATTCAAACAGCAGCGGTGGAAACAGGACGATCGGTTCTCGTTTTACTTCCCCGGGACGCGGATTTTCTTGTCATCCGCTGAGCGGTGCGTTCAGTCCGGGTTGCTTTCCTCCGATGTACCGCCGCGTCTTCGGTTCAAAGGGATCTCAGTTTGCCACACATACATCGCTCCATCCTCGGCTCCAATACCACCCACTTCCTACAATCACACGACGTTTAACCCCTCAGCAACCAGAGGCTGTCAACCAGACCGTGGCAGGCTGAAGAGGTACAGATTGCTGGCTCTCATTCTGGTTGTGACGATGAGGCGGTTCGGCGGGGGTATGATGAGTTTACAACAGAGGAGCACCTATGATTTAGACAGAAATACTGTAACAGCCCATTTTATTTCCATATGCATCAAATTCATATTGAAATGTAGGTCGCATTTTGCTTGTAATAAATAGCAATGCTGTACAACCCAGTTTTAGTAATTTTGCTAAACGAGCCCTGTGCTAAGTATGGATTGATCCAGACAACAGGACTGAAGTATGGGTTTGATCCTGGATTACTAGGTAGGTAAGCAGACTGAGATTCTAACCGAGGACCCTCTTGTTGCAAGGTAGTAGTATGTCCCGTTCCCATACTAGTAGTACATTCTTATTAATGAAAATAATTATAACAAAAACAAAAAACACAAGGGAAACACAGTTTTATTTGTATAGTACCTTGTCACTATCAGTGTTTTCAAAATACTTTGCAGAGACAAATAAAGACAAAAATAGAAAACAACAATAGCCCTAATGAAGTTCTATTGTAATAAAGTGTAATCAGCAAATGTAAACAGTTAAGTGCTGTACAGATCCAATACATGTAACCACAATTAAAATATAATCCAATTAATGGAAATGATAAAAATGTGAGTCTTATGAGACTTTTTTTGTCTTTTTAAAGTAACAAAACAGTCTCTAGCAGAGCATTACAGAACATGCAAAGTAGCCAAAAGCGGACATCTTTCCTCCTAATTTGATACTTGGTTATGGCCAAAAGATTACCGCCTGCTTAGATTTAACAAAAATGGATTGCAAAGTACATTTAAAAACAAGTAATAAAATCTTAAAATCAATTTTAAAAGCTACAGGAAGTCAGTGGAGGGACTTGAGTGTTGCAGTAATGTGCTTTCTCTTTTTTTTGTGCAGTAGAGGCAGCAGTATTCTGAACTCACTGCAGGTTCACAATTGATTTCTTTGGTAGACCAGCGAGGAGGGAATTGCAGCAAAAGGTACAGAAAATAATGAAGGTAATGAGCAGGTGATAACAGGCTACATTGTGCACAAGCCTGATGTTGCAGGTAAACCAAGTGAAGTGTGTCAAGAAGTTAAACATGACTGTTTGCGACATACAATGAGGCTCTTTCTGAGCTCTTCTCTTCATTGAAATTAAGCTTGAACCTCCCCCAGCAGTTTTCCTCGATGCCCCCTGCTGACTGTATGAAGTTATTTTTAAGCTCAGAAGTTGAATCAACTGTCAGCATAACCTGGTTGCATACAGTGGCACCCAGCATTATGCATTTTTTAACATGCACACCTGCCGCCCGACATATGACATTCACCGGTACAAAGCATTTTCAGGCTTCTCACACTTCTCTTGCCAGTCCAACATGTCTCAGCATGTCTGCTTGACTAGGAAAACTTCACCAGAAGGAAAACTCTCAAGCTTACAGGTTACAGACACAGATATTTTTGTATCTCCAGGCCTGTATGACCCTGCCGAGTCTACAATATCGATATTGTCAATAATGGACGGCAAAGCAGAAACGATAGTTTGCATGTCACGGGAACCGCACTCAAGCATCTGCATGAGTAAAGTCCATCCCAATGAACACAGTGACGGACTGAAGAATTTTACACATTTAAGCATTTTCAAAATGAAATAAGATACATGAAAATGCAAAGTGTTGGTCAAAGGGGACCTTTTTAAAGGATGGTGAGGGTATGTCTCACTGGGAACATGAAGCTGGAAGCTTCAGTCCCTCTCAGTGTGGGATTCAGTGCAGTGGACTCTTCATTTTTTTTCACGGAGCTGTATTTTTCGGTAGGCTGACATTTAAAACCCACTGGTGTTATGCAACATTGCAATTATCTAAGAAACAGAACTTTGAGTTTCCATTGACTGTGAGTCATATTCCTCAAAATTAAAAGAAACAAATGCTTTAAAAAAATGAATGATGAATTAACTTTTTATTGAAAATAAATGTTCAATGATTTTCTAATTTGTACTTTTATGTCTTCCAGCGAACAACAGAAAAAAAAATGCTCCAAGAACAAAACTGATTAACAACATGTCCGCATTTGATCATTAATATTTTGAAAGACAGCCTAGTTAGCAGCACTGCCTAGCTCCTCTACCACATTAAGCTGTGCTTCTTTTTTTTTCCCCTTTTTCAGAGTAAATAATGAATGAGAGCGCATGAATTTTGCATATTTTTGTTCATTACGTGCTGAGAGATTTGGGGAGCGGAGGAGGGGGAAGTGGTGGCAGCGCAGTGCGTGCACACACCAGAGTTTTTGATGAGCAAAAAAAACAAACCTTCTCTTACACCGCTCAAGAGCTCTCAAAAATGATGTCACCCCTTTTTTCAGAGAATGCCCTGTGGGAGGTAACAAGGTCAGCTCTCTGCAGCCTGATGCTCGGTGTGGCACGGCTGGCTTTTTAAATCTGCCCCCGTTGCTCGTACGATCCCATTTCCCGTCCTGGTGAGCCTCCCTCACGAGAGCTTCGTCAGCTCAAATCTCCTCACAGACAGCGAGAGCCTCTTTCTGCATTCAGATATGCGTGGTCTGTCTGTCTACGCGCTCTGTGATGCACATACATAAGTCAAGAGAGAAGAGTCTCTTAGCCACATTAACCACCGTTAATGCAAGTTCATATGGATTTGCAATCATAACGACCCAACATCCTATTGCTTCAGAGGAAACCTAAGTGCTGCCTTTGTGCATGCCGTCCAGAAACCTTTCATTTATTTCTCCGCATTCCAGGGCGTTTTGCGAAGTTACAGTTTGAAGTCTGCAGTTTATCAAGGATCTTGTTTCATTACATGAAATATTTAAAACACAAAGCGAAGGTTATTTAGTGAAATAAGTTAAATGATTTAATACTTGTTGTGAACTGCATGACTGATTAGTCATTATTAATGAGTTCGCTCTAATTTTCCCTGATTCTGCTCTGACTTTCAGATTCCTTTTCCAACCAGCTTTGGCGGTAATAAAATGATCACCCCTCACTTTAGAGTCTCTGAACTAATTGATTAAACAATTCACCTCTGTGCCATGAAACGTGTCCTTCGAGTAAGTAGCTTATCCTAATATTTAGGATACACCGAGTGCCTGTAAATCTAGACTAAAAACCCTTCAGTTTAGAATCAACGAAGCATTAATCAACAATCTGATGTGTAAATGTAATGCTTCAATCGTTCGCCATGTGTTCTATGACTTTGTGATGTAAAGCACTTTGAAAATCTCTGTTGCTTAACATTTCTCCAGAAATTCAAGTCTGTGGGACTCGGATCAATGAGCCTTCAAAATTATGTAAAAGGAGAGCATCACAACTACAACTTTCTATTTGGTTAGGTAGTTAGGCACTTATGTCAGAAATCAAGAGGCTCTTTCTCATTGAATCATGCCGTGTTTGTAATCACCGCCATGGTGCGTGTGGGGCTGCAGGCACTGGAACCTGTTGGTTAGTCATTTTGCGTGTTTACTGGACAGACGGGATCTCATGTTGATGTTCATACCATGATAAAAAAAAGTAATAATAAATTAACATCGGCAATGCAGGCACATTTTTAAAAGACATGTTATTATTAAAGGGCAAATATCATAATACCTAAATATCATAACCTGCCTTTTTAACAGTTGCAAAGGGGATGAGTCATTTTCAAAGAAATAATGAGTTGGTGCTTTTTTTTACTCATAAAGAGTCTCTGGAGCCATGGCTCTCTAAGATGGAAAGCGGACGCCAAATATTGATGACACAACAGTGTGGGAATGCTTGTAAATGTTAACAGAAAACCGATTGTTTTTACTAACAAAAAACATAAAACACATTTCTAACTGGAAAACATTAAACTGTCGTATGTCTGCTTATTGGTAATCAATTCCTTATTGGAATGAGGGCGACTGCTTGCCCAGAAATTGTGGAGGAGTTTTATAAAAGAGGGTGAACTCCTCCTCACTCCCCCAAAATAGTGACAAATAGTAACACTTTTTGTCCTGCTTCAAGTTATGAAGCTCTCAGTCAGTCAGCAGTCAGACCATCAAGGCGTCTACAAATGTTATTTACAAGTATAAATGTTTTCAGGTGAAAAAAATACCTGTGGCTTTCATGACATAAAAAAAAAAACTGCTCTTTCCAAACTTTAATCTTGCCATGTTGTCTTCAAATATTTAGATCAGTGGCTTGTTTTTTTCCTCAGTGTTTGAGCTCTGTGAATTCAGCATTTTGACTTCCCATCCAACCACCACATGTGCACTGGCATGTAGCATTGGCTTGAAGTGACTTTGTTAGTTTGTTAGACCTCCAGGTTACTGATCTGTCTCCAGACTTTCCCCTTTCCTCTAGACAATTCGCTATTTAAATCGTCACATTCTCCGTTATCCGAAGCTCCGTTTTTCTCATGCTTTTTTTAAATGCATTTCTTCACATATGAAAATTAACCTATCATGATCAACCAGCATGAACAGAACATGGTGAAAGGGAAAAAAGAGAATTACATGCCCTTTGATATTTTCTGTCTGCTTTGTTTCTAATGAGGTAGCAGTGACTGTTGCTAGTTAGCATACACATATTTCCTGCTGCACTTATACAAATGACTCATCTCTGTGTAGATAACTTCTGTAAAGCAAATTTGATCACGGCATATTGTATAGTCTAATCAAAATTATTAAAGTCTATTCAAGTCCTGCTGCCAGATTCTCGCTGTTTTCAAACATGAACACGATCAGGATGTGTCGCTTTACAGAAACGTTCGCGCTAAAATTGTAATTTAAGTTTTAACACAGACTGGAATCTGCCAACAGTTACATGCTGTATATTTATGTAACAGATGGCGCTACAACTAATTAGCAGGTACAAAGCCACACATGATGACAACCATCAGTTCTCACGTTTGGAGATACGCTGAGCACAACAGCCACTTTACCAACGTGGACCACAGTTTGTCCATTGTATTAAGTTACATTATTATTATTATTATAACATGATCACCATGCATTATGGATTTACAAGGCATTATAGAATACAAGGCATTCTATAAGTGAAGTGTGATGATGAAAGAAACACACTGGGA